CTTTACTGCATAAGTTCAAAGCTCAAAACTCACTTCCTGAGAAAGACTTTGCTGAGTAAAGCTCTTCCTTCCTGCCATCTCTGTCATACAGACACGCTTGTCTTACTTCCATTCACCTAGTACTTCATGACGTTAGGGGCACATCCATGTGTCTGACCACCCAACAAGAATGGATGCTCCATCTGCAGGGTCCTTCCAACCTGCTCACCACTGCCTCCTTAGCACCTAGCACAAGGCCTGGCCTCTGCCTGGCCCCGTAGCTATTTACTGCATGTTCAGCGATGACTCGATTTACATAGGTGTAATTTTTAAATCGCTCATTTCCTTTCACGTTCACTACTCGTTTTCTATACAGGCTCTGTTCCTAACTCTCATAGCCCCAGCAAAATCTTTAAGTAATGTCACTGTCATTTCCTTCCCCTACACCCCACAGTTAGTTGATCAAAGAAACTCAAGTACCTGGTTAGTTTTGAAAACCTAGCAGTCAGGGACTTTCCTCCTGATGCCCTTGATCTTCGGGTCCTGAGAGGGCTCTCATTGTAAATGAAGATATGTTCTTTCTAAGTGAGCCAACCTCACAAATACCCAGATTGACAAATCCCTACTCTACAAAAGACCTCCTTCATTACAACTCCCCAGGTATCTCCGTGTTTGAACAGCGGCCATTAACTAATTGACAGAGGAGCTGCTGAGGTGGAGGAGGGGGACATAGACACTAAAGTTAAATGACAAGAGGCCATGCCAATTGTAGTGGATTCAGAAATGATAAACCCTCTTCAGGATCAATGAGAAAAGGAAATCAAATAAGCAGTGAAATTTATCAAAACACTGTCAATGTGCAGGGAGAGATTTCATTTTGTGTTGTTCTAAAATAAAACTTGTAGTGTGTCTATTGCTTAATGTGTTTTGCCCACAGCCTTGCAGTAACCTAGGTGTCAAAAAATTATTCCCTGTGCAAAGCATTCTTTCTTTCTATCTATCTATCTATCCAGAGTGAAGGACAGAGGATGGTAGGCACAGAATTGTCCAGGTGCAGCTGCTCCACCCCCAGGAGAGGACTCAGCTTCTAGAGTGCTTGTCTGTCTGTCTATCTATCTATCTTTCTTCTATACATCTCATCCACTCATCCATCCACCCATCTGTCTGTCCATCCATCCATCCATCCACCCATCCATCTAGCCTATCCTTCTATCCATCCATCTATCTGTCTGTCTATATGTCTATCTATCTATGTACCCATGTATCTATCTATCCATACACCCATCCATCCATCATCACCTCTACCTATGTATCTAAGAATACTGTGGTTACTTGTGCAGAGCATTCTGTCTATCTGTCTGTTTGTGGACTCTGGGTACAAATATCAAACAGTCCCTCTAGCTTTGCCTGAGCATTCGCAAATCTTTCCAGTAATCAAGACAGTTTTTGTTTTCTAGCAAAACAGAATAGGGGTTCAGAAGAGAGACTGACGTCACATAACCCTAAGTCTGACAGCCACCAAGGCTATGTGCCTCCTGTGTGACCTTGGGCAAGTTATTTAACCACTCTGATCTTTAGGTTACTGGAAATTAGTATCATCCAACACCTGTGTAACTGTGGCACTTGAGAATTCAATGCGAAAAGCCAGTTCTTGGCAAATGAAAATTGCCAGTGAGAGCAGGACAATGATAATGGCCCCAAGCCACTAATCCAATTCAAACTTCGTTGGACTGCTTGTTTTCTTTTTCCATTCTAGATCACTTGGTTCCCGGGTAACCGCCAACTGGAGACCAGAGAAGCAGTACCACTGCAAGTCAGGGCTTCCTTGGGACATCCTCATGGGCAATGGCTGAGGAGAACACTGACACTAGGGATTTCAACCTTCCTTGCTTCCTCATTCTATTAATCTGGCCATTAAACAGAGAGTCCTGCTGATGCTAACAGATGCATAGCTCTGCTGTACTAATGGCAGAGAGCATTAGAGGACTGAGTCCTCAGCAGCCAATCAATCCATCTCCCCAACTCTGCACAGCTGCACGGGACAGATTAACCAAGCAGCGGGTGAGGACCTGTGCAGTTACTGCCAGGGAGAGTGGGCATACGAAAGAGTGGGCTTCCCAGTGGCCCAGGTTCCTGAATAAGCTGCTGGCCTGTGATGAAAAGACATGGCTCTTAGTAAAATCTAAAAGGAGCCTATGGTCTGAGCTTTAGGACAGAACAGGCAATGCAGTCATGAGCAGAAAGAGCCTCAGGAGGAGGAGTGTGAAAGAACCCAGAACTTACAGTGTGGGTACCACCTCACTTCTGCAGAGAGGTTCTTCTAAGCTTGGCCACATCTGTCATCTTGCTTGTGGCATATGGGTCACATTTGGGACTCGACTTTCTGCAGGAAAACCCTCCCCTGCTCTCTTGTCTGACCTGCCTGTAAGCAGCTGAACAGGGTCCCACTGTTCAGCCCACTAAGGGCCAAGACCCAGCACAAAGTCAGACGTGGTCACAGTCTGATGCCAAAAGACACAAAAAACAATTGCATTTCATTGAGTTCTCATGTCTCTAACCTGGGAAATCAGAACTCAGGGAAAGACAACAACATCCTACAGCTCCCCAAAGACCAAGAACCAGATAACACAGATGGGAGCATTGTTTGGGGACAAATTGAATCATTTCTCCAAACCCAGGGCAAATGCAGAAAGTGTGCCTGTGTCCCCGCTGGCTGCGGATCCAGGCTCAGGTCCTTTGGGTCAACAGATGGGACTTTAAGAGCAGCCAGTGTGTGTGTGTGGGGGGGGGGAACTTGAGGGGGACAGCTATCCTCACAGTGTGTTACCCAAAGCCATCAGTACATGACTCTCTTTCCTGTGGAGGGGTTGAAGAGCTGCCTGGGTGGTGTCCAGAGTGAAGGACAGGGGATGGTCAGGCACAGAATCGTTCAGGTACAGCTGCTCCACCCCCAGGAGAGGACTCAGCTTCCAGAGTGCTTGTCGTGGGTTTTCCTGAGCCTTTCCAAGGTTCCTTCCAGGGAAGGGCTGAGCAAGAGTAGAAGACCATCATTTTATAATCCTACCCTGGGACTTGGCTCACGATCCCCTGGGTAGATGGAAAAGGGACCCAAGTCCCAAATCGGGGCACACAACCTTTGGGGAGATAGCTAGGTGATTTTAGAGGGCATCCAAAGGAACATTTTAATTTTAGTTTCATAGTTTAGCATTTATTTTTATATATATGAATTATATATAAATATATACATTATATATATATATTTGTATGTGTGTCTGTTTATCTATCTACACACATTTGCAACTCTTCTATCTCTCTCTCTATCTATCTCTCTCTCTCTCTCTATCTATCTATTGACAGTGTTATTCTATTTTGCCACCATGAGTATTTGTGTCTGGAAAATTCTTTGCTGGAAGTGGGGGATGGCCTGTGCAATGTAGGATATTGAGCTGTGTCCTTGTCTCTAGGAATAACCACCTCCCTCCCCTCACACACACACCAGATGAAATGACCCAAAATGTCTTTAAGACATTGCCAAATACCCTCTGGGTGTCAAAATCACCTCCTGGTTGAAAACCATTAGCTTAGGTTAGTCTAGCTCTTAAAGTGAGCCTGGTTAAGGAAAAAAAGTATTTTTAGATGACTTAATGGAGCAAATGAAAGTTCCATGTGGGAAGAGCAGTAAGGAGGTGTGCAAATGATGGATGAATAGGAGAAAACAAACCAGAGGATGGCCAGCCAGGCAGAGGAAATTGGATTCTCCTACCTATCAAAGTCACCCGCCTACCCTACCCTGCCAGCCCTGGTATCTATCATCCTGAGTGAGTTGCAGGAAACAGGGGACAGACAGGTACAAAGAACCCCGGGGATCTGCATTCTCCCAGAGTTGGGCCTTGCTGATATTCTGGTCTCTGTGAAGGGCAGTGGGTTTGTTCCTCACCTCATTGTCCTTGAGAAGACCCAAGAAAAGATGCCAGGGAGAGACCAGGACCCAAGAAAGAGAGTAGGGCAGGTTGTCTTTGCCCATTGCTCCAGAAATCCTGGAAAAGCCATTATTGGCCTTAAAATGTTCAAATACATCTGACTGCATCTGACACTGATGTGTTCACTTGGGGCACTGCAGGTTCCATCCCATCTTCCCTCTCTCTTTACTGTCTCTGTCCAACCAACAGAGCTATGGAGATGATCTACCCATGAACACATCCTCTCCGATTCCAGGAGGAAAGGTCACAGTCCTATGGTTTAAAAGCTAATACTCACAAGCACTTAGTTTGTCCCTCTGCATTTATAGACATTATTTCTTGTGATTCTTACCACAACACTGCCAAGTGGGCACCGTCATTATGTCAGTGATCCAGATGGGAAGACAGCAATTTAGAGGTTAAGTGGCTCCATCATCATTGTAGGGCTTGAAGATACACAACTGGATTCTACCTGGGTCTATTGGGATCTGAGGCCGGTACCCATAGCTGTAGCAGTGGCCCATCCCCCAGGAGAGCAGAAAGCAGATGTAAAGGTCATCCCCTCCTTTACAAGGCCCTCTGATCATCTGCTCCACACAGAACGGCCACTGTCACCTAAGTTCCTTGTAATGACCAAGTGGGCCAGCAGATGAACTGATGCAACTCCTCACTTGGCAGCTGGGTCCTAAACCCTAACTTGCCAAAGTCTACCAAGTCCAAAGACACCAAACATCAATATCTCCTATACCATGGATTCCTTTGTCTCCTCTTTCCTTGTGCATTTATCTCTTCAGGATTGCTGGCAGGAGCACAGGATAGAAGAAAACTCAAATGAAATGGTCATAGTTCTTTGCCCCAGGTAGGATGTGCATTCAGACAACTGTGTGTGCATGGGCACACACGCATATGTGCAGTCAGCCAATGTGGGTATCCTATGTGTACACATCCATGCACCATTCCGTGCCTGTCAGTCCCTCTGAGCCAAAGGACACAAACGACCCCCTCCCCTCAGAGAGCTGGTCCCAGAACATCAAGTCAGAAGTAAGTGACAGAAGCACTCACCTGGGTCTCCAGGGTGATCAGGGGACTCGGGTGTGGATCCTGTGGGAAGAAGGAAAAAAACACGTGAGTGGTGGTGGGGACTGAGCCAGTTAACTTAGTACCTGAGAATTGTTTAGAAGAAAACTTGATTTGCTCAGTGTTCAGGCACTGGGGTGGGGGCAGTCCATATCTGTCTCTGCCATTTTCCAGGGATATCAGAACAACTTAGCCCAGTCTTCCCCAGCCTACCCCCAACACTTCTTCCAACACCTAAGTGATGACGGAGGCCCAAGTCTGTCCTCAAGGGAGATCAAGCAGAACAATGAAGTGCTAACAACATGGAAACACAACGCAGCTTACTAAAATCTCCAAGTGTGTTCAAACCCTCCATGGGAAGGAGCACTGGGTCTGTAAGAGGATTAGAAACCAACCTCCAGGAACGTAAAGTCTCCATTCAGAGCCGAGGTCATCAGGTTGTGTCTGATGTCGCAAAGAATGAGAGAAGCGATAAGAAGGATCCAGAAAAAGAGGAGCCTAATTCTTGGCTTGAGCACACATCCCAAAGGGCTGGGAAGCATCTTTCAGGGTAGAGAAGGCCAGAGAAACATCCTATTCATTCACTCTCAACAAAAGCCCATTGACTGGGAATATGGGTGGTAAAGTCTTGGATCATTAAGCATGAACTCTTTGGGTTGGGGGAGCGGCAGGGTAGGGACAAAAGGGGAGAAGATAGTTTCCAAGGAAACTCAGCTCACGAAGGCTATTTTTGTCTGCTCTGAACTGAACCACCTTGGATTCATGATTCTGGAAAAGCCACCTTAGTTGCTTAGGCATAGTTCTAAGGCCTTAGAGTAGAAACCCAGCTTGAAGCCTGGCATTTCCCGAACAGATTTTCCAACACCAACTTATAGGAACCCATGCAAATTAGCGCCAGCCCCCACGCCTGGATGGCCGCACAAGGAAGGGAAGAGAAACTGGAACATTCTATGTCCCTGCTCCAGGGGAGTCCCCACATGCTTTCTTGATCCCAGTTCTGCAATATCTGTCAAGACACCTTATTCTGATGCACATTTGGGTTGTGATCGCATGCACTTTCTGAGCTCTTTGCTCATACAGTGCCAAGGGAATCACTGAGAGAACACACCTCACTAGAATCGTTACACCCCCAAGTACTAACACAGTGTGACACCCAGGAAAATTTTAAAGGAACCATTTTCATCCCTTAGAGGAACTTGAAGAAGTCCTGAAGGAAATAGTTCAGGCTTCTCTCTCTCTTTCTCTCTCTCTCCCCCAACCCTGCCCAGCTCCTCCAAGGACGAAGCGCAGCTGGGATCGGGGAGAACACAACATTCATTGGAACATGTTTTTTATTTTTTGGTGGGGAGGGGAGCAGGCTCACCATTTTAGCCATTTTCTACAGAGGCTCGTCTAACCAGCAGTTCATCACCTATATGCAAGAATTGTTGAGCCTGTACATCTTGGTTACCTACGAGGCAAACACATAGAGCAGGGCCATTTTGTCTCTGGGAGGCAAGATCTTTTTCCCGGTTGGTGACTGACAACACATGTCAGTCTGTGTGTGTCCATCTGTCTGTCCACTCAGATCCCACTATCGAGATTCTGATTAGAAAATAAGAGGCCGCATTGCAATCTCAAAATTAGCCTCCTTCTCAAATCCAAATCCTCGCAGAGAGCTGCACCAGGGCCTTGGGTGCGTGCCCAGGTTAATTAAGCTATACTTCACAGTTCATTTGGCTATTGTGTGGGGCTTCTGCTTCAGTGCTCAGAATCCCAAGACAGGGAAGAGGGGGGAAGGCCATCCTGAACCCTAAGAACAACGTCCCTGGAAAAGACATTCCTTGGAAAGTCATGGGAAATCCCTGTAGGTAAAAATAAAAGCCTGGTCCCTCGGCGCAATGATGCACTTATTCTTTACCTTGTAATCCAAGATCAGAGACCCTAATGGTACATAGTCAGAGGTCCAAAGTTTATTAAGAAGCTTCTGGAAAGCAAAAGTACAAATGCTACTTCTTTAGTGTCTTAATTAACTAGCCAGGAAGAGGACAGAGTGCTCACAAGTGGCCATGCCATTTAACACTCAGAGTTTCTTTGCCAACAAAATTCTCTGTCGGTGCCCGGTAGAAATAGAAGACTCCCTAAAGAGGCAGGGGCTAGATTGAAGGAAGGACCACATATCTGTGAGGTCTCACTTGCGGCAACACCCTCTTTAGTTAGAGAGGATAAGGAAGCAGAACTGGGTCGATGATGCTGTCTGCCTAATCCGTCCCGGCTGTCTAAATTGAGGCTCTTTGGTTTATAGTAGAGTAAACTCCTGTCTGTCAGAGAGCAGGCTTCTGGAGACAAAAGGGGAATTTGCAATGTGCTTGCCTGCTCCGATGGAGTGCTTCTGGAATCTTAATGCAGTACCTAGAAGCATGGGTCTTCCAAACACAAGCAAAGTCCTTTTGTGCCTGCCTATTGTAATAACTAAATTAGGGAAGTCAAATGTGGAACTCAGGATAAGTGATTTAGTGGTTCTCATCCCTCGCCATATGACTCTGCGGTTCTCTGCAGTGGGCTTCCCTACCCCTGCAGCTTGGGCTTGGCCACATGACTCACTCCACCCAAAAGGAAGTTAGCAGAATGTGACATAAGCAGAAATAGGCTTGACCACGACCTTTTGTGGTTCTTCCATCACAACACAAACATGAGCCTTGCGTCCTGCTGGTCCAAGGAGAATGAGAGCCACAGGGAACAGCCACACCTGGGACCAATCTGCAGCTTGGAGCCAAGCCCAGCCTAGAGCATTGGACGCCAGTCAACTTTCAGCATAAGAAAAGATACAATTTTAGGGCAATTTGTTACACAGCACTATTGTGGCAATAACTAACTGATACACTTTCCCACACTGACCTTAAGGGAACTAAAAATGTATTGTTAAGAATCCTCACAGCCTTGGAACCTTGTAACTCCAGATTCTCTTTCCCTAAGTCTGCAAATACATCCCGGAAAACGAAAACAACCGTAAATAGTAGCTAATATTTATCAGGACCTACTAGGTACCAGGTTCTCTGCTAGCTGTACCAGAACATCAAGCAAGGATACACTTGACCGTGAGCTAAACTTCAGCCTCTGCCAAACGTGCCCCTAGCCTTTTTTGCTTTATTTATTTTTCAGATAGGGTTTTGCATGTATGCCTAGATCAGCTTGCACAGTGATCCTCCTATGTATGCTTCCTGAGTGGCTGGGATTACAGTTGTGAGCCACCATGCCTGGCTAATTTGCAAGTGCTTTGAGCAGTGACATGATGTCCAAAAGGTTTCTGACTTCAGATTTCAGATTTCTGGGTTAGGGATGCTCAACCTGTAGTTCCAACTGACACTTACGAAGACCTAATCATGTGCCAGACACTGGGCTTAACTTCCATGCACATCTTTAGGAACAAGCCTAAAGATGGGTGCTATCATTATTCTCATGATAGAGGTGGAGAAACTGGTGACCAGAGAGGCTGTGTAACCTGTCCCAGGTCACACAGACAGTGTTGAGATCTGGGATTCGACACCTGAACTTAAGAAATATATTTTCACTGTCTCACAGCTGCTGTAATATGGAACACAGACCTGCCTTAGACAAAGTAATCTTCCAATGTGGATTACGTCTTGCAAGTGAAGACAACTTAGAACAATAAACAGAAGTCTTAGCAAATACCAGAATCCTTTTTTTTTTTTAGCATCTGAACATTATTTTAAGGTTGGGGACATGGTTGACAGAATTCATTACCAGTGTCATGACAAAAAACAGAACAGTTATTTTGCCACAGCAGGGAACCTATAGCATCAGCCAAACAACCCATGGGTGCGTACTGAGTTCCAACTTGGTAGCTAGCACTCTACCTGGCAGATATCAGGAGAGGGACAGAAATAAGTTTAAGGTGACTTTGTGTCCACTTTTGTTCCCAAAGTTCACTGTTTAAAGAACAGACTCTATTTCAGGTCTTTGAGATGGTCTGCCCATCACAAGTTGTGTTTGTTTTTTGACCAAAAAGCCAAGCTCAAATATTTCCAAGTCCATTAAGGCCCAACGTCTAATTTTAACAAGCAATGAGGATCTGTCCTTTATTATTCTGTGCATGAAGCAGGCATACCTGGTTCTCTTCTTGGGCTTTGGGGACATCATAGTTTGTCTTTGCTTTTAGGTGTTAGGCAGTGGCTTTGGGGTGAGAAGATAATCTTAGGACTCAGGTCTTCTAAGCCTAATTTCCAAATAAGGCCCCTACTGTACACTCTGTGCCACACACTCCTGGGAGACATGTCATAGGGCTGGCTTAGTGCTTTCTCCCTGTCAGCTATACAACTGCAGACAGAACTAGCAAGCTTTCACCATCAAGGGACTGTGCCTTACCCTTAGTTATCGTCAGACACATGGGGAACTGTGAAGAACTCTTCATGGGATCACAAACAGGAAGAAACAAAATATCACCAACCACACCCAGCCTGCCCAGGACACATGCTCTCCAGAGACTGCGGGGTGTAAGCTGAGTGCAGATATCAACCCTGAAACCCTCAGTGGATGCAAGTGTCTGGCACCAGGAAAAGAAGGAACATCCAGTGGAAAAGGCAACAGATTTGGAGCCCAGGTCTGGATTCAAACTATGCATAACCTCTGTATTAGTCTGCTCAGACTGCACAAAAATAATACACAGACTGGCAGGTGTAAACAACAGAAATATTGTATCACAATTCTGGAGACTGGAAGTCCAAGTTCAAGGTGTCTGTACATTTGGTTTTTTTCTGAGGCTTCTCTCCTCAGCTGTGTCCCCAACAGGGCGTCTATGCACATACTTTCCAGTGTCTCTGTGTCCAAACCTCCTCTTCTTATAAGGATAAAAGTCACTACATTAGGACCCACAATAATGGCCTCACTGAACTAAATTACCTCTTTTAAGACCCTATCTCCAGGTATAGTAACATTCTGAAGGACCGGAGACTATGACTTCAACACAGGAATAATTGAGGCAACATAATTCAGCCTACACCAACCAGTTAGTAGACCTGTGACCT